AGCTCCTCCCTCTCGTCTTCTCTCCCTATCTCTACCCGGCTCGTCTCTTATGGCAGGCTAATCAGAGCTTGGTAGGCCACCGAGCATCGTGTGTGTTAGAGCTGAGCTGTGTGACAGATGTGTGGGCTTCTGGCCCCCTGCTCCGCTCCCCCGCTCGTCTCGTGCTCTCGTCTTCTCTCTCTCTCTCACCTCTCTCGGCCCCTGCTCCAATCCCTGTCAGCCCTCCCTGTATCTCGTGCAGCCCTCTCTCTCTCGGCCGCTGCTCTCTCACGCCTCTCTCTCTTGGCGGTGATCAAGAGCTGGTAGAGCGTCCCAGATATCAGTGTGCGTGAGGTAGCTGATGCTGGGTGGACACCGATTGTGGGCTGTCGGTCCCCCGCCTTTCTTCTCCGTCTCTTCTCCCCTCTCTTCCTGCTGGCTCCCTCGTTCTCTCTCAGCATCTCTCTTTTCTCTGCCAGCGCTATCAGAGCTGGTAGAGCCAGGCGCAAGCATCGTGCGTGAGCTGAGCTGGGTGGACACCGTGTGGGCTTCTCCCCCTCTCCCCCTCTCCCTCTCTCTCTCACCCTCTCCCTCTTTCTCTCTCTCTCACTCTCTTCCCCCTCCCCATCCTCTCACCCTCTTTCTCTTCCCCTCTCTCTCTCGCCTCTCTCTTCACCCTCTCTCTCTTCTGCAGGCTATCAGAACGGCTGCGTAGAGCACAGCATTGTGCGTGAAGCTTTGAGCTGGGTGGACACCGTGTGGGCGATCTCCCCCTCTCCCCTCCGCCCTCTCTTCTCTCTCTTCTCTCTCTCTTCTCTCTCTCACCCTCTCTCCCCCTCCCCATCCCTCTCACCCTCCCTTTCTCTCACCCTCTCTCTCTCGCCCTCTCTCTCACCCTCTCTCTCTCTGCAGGCTATCAGAGCTGGTAGAGCCACCAGCATTGTGCCGTGAGCTTGAGCTGGTGTGGACTACCGTGCTGGGACACGAGCCGGCTGCACCGGAGGACTGCCCCTACGGGCGCGTGCCGCCGTTGCCAGAATTACTGTCTATGGGCGGGGTTCAAATGGGATAGCTTCACTGAGCTTCCACGCTCGACTTCGGGGCCGAACCTCCGTGTGGTATCACGTGCTCAGGGTAGCGGTGTGAGAAGTAGCTCTGCTGGCGCAGGATATGGTTGATGAGAGAAGTGTGCTCTGCTGCCTCAGGGGAGCGTGTTAAAGTAGGCTTTGCTGCGCAGGCGTGGTGTTAGAAGTTGACTCTGCCTCTGCAGGGTAGGTGTGAGAAGATGTCTCTGCTGCGCAGGGTAGAGTGTTAGAAGTGACTGCAGCGCAGAGGGTATATCGTGAGAAGTGGTCTCTTGCTGCGCAGGGGTAGGTGGTTAGAAGTTGCGCTCTGCTGCTCAGAGTAGCGTGTGAGAAGTGGCCTTCTGGCTGCTCAGAGGTAGGTGTTGAGAAGTGGCTCTGGCTGCCTCGAGGGTAGGTGTGAGAAGTGGCTCTGCTGGTCAGGCGTAGGGTGTAAGAAGGAAGTGGGGGGGGCTCTGCGGCTCAGGTCAGTATGGTGTGTAAGAGAGTGGCTCTGTGCTCAGGGTAGTGTGTAAGAGAAGTGGCTCTGCTTGTCAGGTGTAGGTGCAGTAGGTATCGTCCGCTTATTGGGCTTTATTCAGGTTCTAGTGTGGGTGTGCATTGCTCTTTGATTATATCTCTTGACTTCTTTAACACACCTACCGTTACTCCTCCTTTCCTTTCCCTTCCTTAGCTCTGCAGAGGATGCGATGGCCAAAAGAAGAGGATGATGAGGGTATAGGTTTTAGGACGATAGTGTTAACAAGTAGAGCTTAGGAGATAAGGGTTTTGATATGTGGTTAACGTTCGCAGCATTAGATGAGATTCAGAGTGAAGTTTAGCAGTTAGGCCGTTCGGGTTTTATTCCGCACCTCATGACATTTTCTTCATATTTATGTGCTTGTTTATTTTCGCAGTGCACAGGGCAGAGAAGATTTTTTACCTGATTCAGGCCAACACAGAACAAACCTGGATCTCTATGGGAGAACTGGGTAGTCCTCAGCCAACCAAAGCCTCACTGTTCTTTGGCCGAACCAGGTATTGCCCTCAACCCTTAATTTTTTAGCTTTTTGGTTGTCCTGTCGGGGCAACAGAAGGAATTTTATACTTGCTCGAATTTTCGATTTTACTGTCAAAATTTCACTTGGCAATTCTATGAGCCGGTAAAGGCTTCGCGCACAACACCCGAAGCCAAAACGGGAAATTTTGATTTTTTCCAGCGATTTAGCGTTCTGCTCGGCCGAGCCGAAGGCGATCACACGCCACCTGTGACCTGACACAGCCCACACAGCTGAGCAAAAATACAGAGAAAACACTGGCGTACAGCGCCGCTGTCCAACATGACATCAAAATTAGCCATCCAATGAGACATCAATTTTAGTGTGTTATATGTAATATTTTTAAGGATATGTGATTGCGAGACGTAGATTTGTGATTTGTTTTTGCTGTGTAGCAGGAAGATGATGCACACACTCCGAGCAAAACGTACGCTCAGCTGGCGCCGAAAACACGCTCCGCGAATCAAACATTGCTTGTCAGCGAAGGACAGGCGCCTCAGCCTGTAGGCAGATGTTTTTTGTTTCGGGATATCCGCACACAGCCACGAACATCGAGCGAAACATGTTTTTGCTCCACAGTTTAGGATGTTTTGCTCGGGTGTGTGTGCGTTATGCACTTTAGGTTACATTTTTAGTTCAGTGCATATCACGATTTCACACATGACGCCCCGTTGCTTTGCTGGTTTGCTCTCTCAACTCATGCCCACGTGACTTAAAACAATTGTGGGCACCTCCCCCCCCCGTGGGGGGCATACGATGGTATATAGCAGCACGGTGTTACTGAGCAATGTTTTTAGAACTCTATCGCCAATTTGGAATTGATCAGTCGTACGAGCGTGGACAGTGTCAAGTTTATGTGACTATTATGTTTCCGTGAGTGTGTAGGAAGTATCTAAACCGCTGGTTGGGGATCATCTTCTATCACGCACTTGTCTCTCCAGGTGGTCTTGTGCTAAAGAGCGTCTGTTTATCTCTAATACAGGGCGTCTGCTTTGTCTTTGCAGGTGGACTCGTGCTACAAAGTGGTGTGCTGAAGGCTGTTTGCTTGTCGTTGCAGGTGGACTCGCTCGCTACATAGTTGTGCTGTAGGCATTCTCGCTCTTTCTTACAGGCAGGCCCCGTCTGCACATTGTCGTTGGCAGGTGGACCACACCCCGTGCTACACAGTGTCGTGCTGTAAGGCAGGTTGCTGTGTTGCAGGTGGACTCCGGTGTTGCTAACAACATGTGTGTCTAGTGAAGGCTGTTCTTGCTTGTCGTTGCAGGTGGACTCATTGCTACAATGTGTGTGCTGAGGCACTCTGTTGTTGTATGCAGGTGGGGACTCTTGCTACAAGTGTGTGCTGAAGGCGTCTTGCTCTCTCTTAACAGGAGTCTGCTTGTTGCTTGCAGGTGGAACTCGTGCCTACAAGTGTGTGTATGAAGCGCGTTGCTGTGGTCGTTGCAGGTGGACTCGTGCTACAAGTGTGTCTAGTAGGGCGTCTGCTCGTGTCGTTGCAGGTGGACTCGCTGACCTACAAGTGTGTGCTGAAGGGTCTGCTTGTCTTGTTGCAGGTGGACTCGTGCTACAAGTGTGCTGCTGTATGGCGTCTGCTTGCTCGTTGCAGGTGGACTCTGCTCAAGGTGTGTGCTTGTTAGGCGTTCTGCTCTCTCTTACAGGCCGTCTGCTTGTCGTTGCAGCGTGCGACTCGTGCTACAAGTGTGTGATGTTAAGGAGTCTGGCTCTCTCTACAGGGTCTGCTTGTCGTCATTGCAGGTGGACTCGTGCTACAAGTGTGTGTTGAAGCACGGACAGACTCTGCTCATTCCCACGGGATGGATCCACGCTGTGCTCACGCCCATCGACTCGCTCGTCTTCGGAGGAAACTTCCTGCACAGCCTCAACATCCCGCTGCAGCTGCAGTGAGTAGCGCCTCCTGGTGGCGGCCGCGAGGGGGCGGTGGCGCCACCTGGTGATGACCGTGAGGAGGCGGCCGCGTGTGCTTGGGATTGTGCGGCAGGAGGAGGGTGAGGGGGTTGGGTGGATGAGTGCTGTGGAAGAGGAGGATGAAGAGGAGGAAGATGAGGAGGAGAAGAGAGGGAAGAAGAAGGAGGGGAGAGGGGAGGAGGAGAGAGGGAAGAAGGAGAAGGAGGAGGAGAGGGGGAAGAAGGAGGATGAGGAGAAGGGGGAGTAGGAGGAGGAGGAGAAGAGGGAGTAGGAGGAGGAGGAGAAGGGGGAGTGGGAGGAGGAGGAGGAGAGAGGGAAGAAGGAGGAGGAGGAGGAGAGGGGGAAGAAGGAGGAGAGAGGGAAGAGGGAGGAGGAGGAGGAGGAGAAGGGGGAGTAGAAGGAGGAGGAGGAGAAAGGGAAGAAGAAGGAGGAGGAGGAGAGAGGGAAGAAGGAGGAGGAGGATGAAGAGGAGAGAGAGAAGGAGGAGAAGGAGGAGGAGGAGGAGAAAGGGAAGAAGAGGGAGGAGGAGGAGAGAGGGAAAAAGGAGGAGGAGGAGCTGGAAAGAGGGAAGAAGGAGGAGGAGAGAGGGACGAAGGAGGAGGAGAGAGGGACGAAGGAGGAGGAGCTTGCTCTATGGCATCGCGTATGTGAAGTTAGTGCTTCCCGGGTTGTCTAGCGGGATAAGAGAATTCATGAGATTGTGCAGATATGTGCTAGCGGTGTAACGATACACTAGGATCACGATATGATGTGTGTCTCAATATGTAGCCTATCGATTATCGCATCGTGGGTCGTTGTATTGCGATTCACCGATGTATCGATGAATTGTTACACCCCTAATATAAGCTGGGGAGGAGGGCGAGAAAGATGTTGTGTTGGGTTGTTATATTATAGGCCGTGGCTACACGTCCGGTTACCGGACGCCCAGCTCCCAGGCTACGCGTCCGGTCAAATATTATTTCTATAATATATTTTTCCAGTAAAAAACAATGAACAAAAAGTTTTTACGATAATATTACTTACCTTTAGGTATTTTATAAAAAAAAAAATGTTTTTGTAACTATTGAAGCATTAGTAAATCCAGTAAAATCAACGATTTGAAAGGGGGCGTGGCCTAATCGTGACGTGAATTTGGGAATCTGTGCTGAGCTTTGTAATGGATTACTGGACAGGGGCGTGTATGGTGCTCGCGCAGAAAACGCATCTAAGGGGGTCTAATTTCAAAAATTTTCTGGGGGAGGGCCCAGACCCCCCCTTCGCATGCTCGCAAGTTTGGGTTACGGTTAGACCCCCCCCTGGTACAAATCCTGTATACACCTCTGCTGGATTATATATTAGGGCCCTATATTATATGTAGGGGTTTGGATTTTGTTGTGTTGGGTTGTGTTGTGTTGTTATATTATATGTAGGGGTTTGGATGTTGTTGTGTTGGTGTGTGAACAATGATGAAGGCCCCGCGCGCGTTGTTCGTTGCAGGATCTACGAGATGGAGAAGCGCGTGAACACACCCGAACAGTTCCTGTTCCCCGTGTTCGAGACGTCGTGCTGGTACGCGGCGCGTCACACACTCGAGCTGCTCAAAGGTAAGCCAACCCACCGCCCGCCACCACGCCCACCCGCTCACCTGCCACCACGCCCACCACAACGCCAACCTGCCCCCCCATCTACCAACCCGCCGCTTGCCTGCCCTCCCGCCCCCACTACAGGGTGAATCCCTAACCCTGGAAAACAGGAGGGTGCGTGGGAGCCAGTGTCAGTAAAAAGAGGGGTAATACGAAGGAGGAGGAGGAGGTAGGGGGAGCTAGTGTCCCTACCCTAAGCGGGGTGCAGTAGGAAGGGGGGGTGGGGAGGAAGTAGGATGTGATCTTTGGTCCCTGGGAAGAAGGGCAGTATGAGGGAGAAGGTAGGATGTGATCTTGGGTCCCTGGGAGGAAGGGCAGTATGAGGGAGGAGGTAGGATGTGATCTTGGGTCCCTGGGAGGAAGGGCAGTATGAGGGAGGAGGTAGGATGTGATCTTGGGTCCCTGGGAGGAAGTGCAGTATGAGGGAGGAGGTAGGATGTGAGCCAGTGTCCCTGGGAAGAAGGACAGTATGAGGGAGGAGGTAGGATGTGATCTTGGGTCCCTGGGAAGAAGGACAGTATGAGGGAGGAGGTAGGATGTGATCTTGGGTCCCTGGGAA